GGGGGGGGGGGGGGGTAAACAACCCAAAACCGCCCGGCTGGTTATTGGACAAAAAGTATCGGCTACAAAATAGGCATTTCTTGACGGGGAACTTTTTTTTTTACGGAAGGGCGGTTTAGCTTGAGGTGGACACAGACTAGTCAATCTTTACAAAAAGCACAATTTGTCTTGCCCGAAGACTGAAATAGGCCTGCATCGTGTCATATCGCAATAAGAGAGCGAGTCAGGGGAAAAGGTGGGCTGAGGGGGGACAGCGCACGCGGTACCGGGGAGGGGGAGGGGTATAGTGAGGTATTGCGCCTCCCTCGCCAAACCATACCACAAAACCGCAGTTTTCATTTTACACCTGAAACCGCGAACGCCCTCTTTCCTACAAGAGCCGCGCGTCGCGTGTCGGCTCGTCGCGGCCTGGGCCTGGGGTCATTGCTTCATGAGTTCAACTAACTGTGAGGTTTCAAAGAAACGATAGTTTTAGCCAGCTGATGGTTTGCCGAAATTTAATTCGTACTGTCGTGCCGGTCAAAAACAAGACCACGACGATTGACGTGCAATTAATGACATTATTGATAACCGTTGACGGCGGAATATAGGTTGAGGGCCTCCAACCCCAAACTCCAACCCTTCCCCTACCTACATCGTGTCGATCCGATAGACTTTACTTTTGCCAGCTACTCTTCCCAGACTACGTGGGCTTAGGCTTAGCGTGACGTTACTGGCTTTAACAACTTTAAACTCGATTCTTTACTCACCTTACACTGAATCTTCCTTGCGGCCGAGTACCATTGAACGATCGACAACAAACAACTGCCGGCGCCGTGCGCCGGACACCGGGACGCAGACTTTTCCCAGTGAGGTAGGGGAGGGGGAGGGGAGGGGTGTGACGGGGTTTTCCTTTGATTTTTCACTAAACGCGACGACGAAAAAAATGCCCACGGCTGTCAATTCCTTTTAAAAAGTATTGCCAAATCTGGACCTTCTTATTTTGTCAAAGAATCTATTAATATTTGGTTGTACATGGATGCTGTCATGCTGTGGCGATTACAAGCAGACAGACGGGGGGGTGGGGGGTAGAGGCGTAAGCTCTTCGTATGTCCATAGGCAACCTAGCCAGCAAGTTTGTTTGTTTCTATTCAGGCAAAATCCTGATATGTAAAAAAAAAAAGCAAAAGAAGTACAGAAAGTGTACAAAAGGCATAAAAGGAAAGGATGTCATGTAATTAGTCACAAATCACTGTTGAAAAAATGTATTAATTCATCATTGCACATTCAAAATTCAATTAAAATATTAACATTGCGCAAAGTCACGATAGTCAATGAGTGCTGCATAGAACAATTTAAGTATGGGATATTTATTTTTTTTATCATTTCTTTATTTGTTTTTGCTTTACTTGAGACTCTTTTTCATCAACCTGCATTTTGAGAAGTTTGATTTCCAATTGCAATTTTTTCTTTTCTAGATCTTGTCTTTCAATGCAGTTTTTTAAATTGTCAATTTGTAACCTAATTTTTTTAGTTTTTACTCTGTACATAGTTCTTTCCTCCTCCAAAACAGATCGGTGGTCACTCTGAGAGTCACTCAAATCATCTGGCAAGCTATAGTTATTACCATCATCAGAAAATTTGTCATCATTTATTTCCTGATTCAATTGAGATTTCTGCTGTGCTACTGGGCTGGTTGGTTTTTTCAACTGTGCAGACTTAAGAATGTTGGTTGTTGTTTTCTTTGAGGCTTCTGACAGTGCAGTGACAACCACTGGTTTCTTGGGTGTCACAGTTTTCTTTACAATCAGTCTTGTAATAGGTTGTGGTTCTTCATTTGTGTCGGACGCTTCAACTGGAAAAAAGTAATATTAACATTACATCATCCAATGATCATAAAAATAAGCAAACTAAAATTCATTATTTTGGAGGGGGACAAATGTAAAAGTAAGTAATTACAAGCATACCTGCTTGAGAGTTTTCAGGAAAACTTTCCAGAACCTGACCATCTGATGTTGTGTAAGTCTGAGGATCAGCAACTTGAACAACTGCCACTCCATCATAATTATTGACATGAAGAATCACTGGGCCTTCCTGATTTGGTCCCAGGATTGATTTCACAACATCAGCCAAACTACTATTCTCACTCCAAGCTGTTGCATTGCCATCATGTTCCACAATTTCACCCTCTTGATTTTCATACTGATATTGAATGTCTTCAGCACTAATATTGTTCTGTGAAACCAATTGCATAGGATCTGATATATACATGGTGTTATCAAACGTCTGCTCCTCCTGTTCTGTTTCAATGACAGAGTAACACTGTTCTGATGAATCATCATTACTAATGACTTCAGTTTTCTGTAAGAAAAATATAATTTTTGTAGTTTAATGACACTTTGAATTAAATTTTTTTGAAAGCAGAACTGATACTTACTATAATGGTCTCTGATGCAAATGGAACCTTTCGTTTTACTGCCTTGAGAGCTCCCAGCTTGTTGAGGGGCTTGATTGCATTTCCCTTCTGCTTACTCTCCATTGCTGAAAGAGCACCAGAATAAAAAAAGAATTACATGCCATCATGAATTGATTTAACATTGATACTCACAGTCATTGACAGTATAACACTTACTTTTGAACTGAGCAAGCAACACATCCGCTCTTTCAGATGATACGTCCCGAGGGTTGTCTTTTAAATCTTTAGCAAGATTTGCCAAATCCCCTGAGAACATACGACGCCCCGTGCTCAGCCACACATAGTTTAGCACGCGCCGCCTCTCAACTCCAAGCGACAACAGATCAAGAACATCTTCACGGACAGTTTTTAAATTGTTACCACCACCCTGAATGCCCTGCAAAATAAAGTGCTCACTTTCAATAACAAAAGCACCGCTAAAATATCACATACTACTCAAGGAATTTAATTTATTACCTGATCATTATCAGCATCACATCTGGCATTTGCAAGACTGCGTCGCTCAGGATACAACAAAACAAGCTCTGGATCACAAGAATGGCTGTGTGTTGTAACAAGTTTTTCTACAACCAATTCCTTTGTATTAGCAGCTACGTATATATATGATGGACAGCCTATCTTGAAGGAACTGCAAAACAACAATAAATATTACAAAATGAGCAAGATTCTCTAAAATGAAGGCACTAAATATTGAAGTGCGAAACACTTTACATACCTTTGATTTGGACGGAGGCCTCTACTGTTGCTGCGAGTCTTACCATAATGTTTACAGGCGAACCTTATGTTCTTGTATTTTAAACATCTGGGAAGCTGTTTGCTAATAGGACGGTTTTTGTTTTCAATTTCAACAGTCCTGCTATGGTTGACTATGTAAACAGAGTTTGTTTCTTTAGAAAATTTTTCGATAGCAGCCTCCAAAGCCTTGAAGTTGGGGTATCGAGCACCTAAACGTAAGTCTTCTATCATTCCGGCATCACTCCTGCAGAACAAAGTTCAATAAAGTAAGAACAATTATATAAATCGCCGTCGTCAGTAAGGTTAAGTTTTATGATTTTCTGCTAGACTAGACAACACTTCAAGAAGTGTATGCCAGGACTGATGAAATAAATACCTGCACAGTGGCGGCGATGCTAGAGACAACTAAAATTGTAGCAAAATGCTTACAATCAGCGAAACAACTTTTCAAATTCTCTAAACAAAACTCAGAATGTATCTTTTTGAGTGTGAATACAAACGATAACGACGCTAACGGTGGTCCTAGCTAGGCAATATGGCAACGCTGTGCTAAACAATTGACAAACGTGGGTTTCGGCGCGGTCCGAGGAGCGGGAGCGATGAACGAAAAGCGACCCGTTCGAAGAAATTATTTTCAAGAAGAGGTTTAAGCCAGAATAAAACAAAAGTTGAAACTTGTGTTGTATAGGTACAAAAGTTTCAGATTTAGAGAGACTAAACTATAGAGATCAAGCAGTTCTCCCTCTTTATCCTTTTTATTGTCGCAGTGTTGTGGGGCCACAAAGATTAAAACTTAAATCAAATGCGAGATTTTACTTAAAACGTCAAGCCTCAGCTATCTGGCATCCTTACGTTGGATCCGTAACACTGTGAATACCAACTCAACGGATCCACTCTCATAATACCGCTAAGTTATGTGGCCACACATATTACTAGTAGCATCAGGGACTGTTGGCTGAGTTTCAAGGCCCTACGGGGCGATTTTTCAGGTGGATTAAATTGTCCCTTGTGTTAACAAAGAATTATTTTGATCTATTGGAGTGTCACCAGATAGGATTCCTTGGGAACACTGAAACCTGGTTTCATTCAAACACTTTAACTCTTATTGCTAATTTAGTAATACAAAATAAGTACTCATGATCGTTTTTATTTAAAATATTTCATCAATGACTAAAATTAAGAAGGGTATTGCTGCTTTCAGGCAGTGCAGGGTGCAAATTATTCAGATAGAATAGAGTTCATAAAAAATATTCAAACACCACTGTTGTTTTTCATGAAGCTGCCATCACCATTGATATAGGAGATATGTCAACAGCATACAGAGCTGAAGTATCTTCATATTCTGGAAAAGAAACATACATGATAATTTGGACCTAGCGTTCAGTGCTAAACTAAAAAAAATAAAAAATGAAGATTTAGGAACGGTTTCTCACTTTTTTCATCTACTTTGTTTCTGAACTGCCGACAAAGCAAGTGAAATCTCTTTCCTTTCAAAATGCACCTACATAGTTGTCTGAAAACTCTTTCCTCGAGAGATAATAATTCTGAGGTCCCCTACAAAACAAAAAAGTGTATTTAAAAAAAAAAAAAAAAAAAAAAATCAACGTGACAAGAAGTTTCAGATAGACTGAAATCTCAGCAATTATACAATAGATTATTAGATGCGGACCTGGAAAGACTTTGACTGTGAGTACTCTAACTGACCATTGAATTGGGCCAGTGTGATTACATTTTCCCATAAACCTTCACAATCTTCTAACAGTTTTGACACAAGATTGTCAGGGACAAATACATAGGCTGGTTTTGCCTCAAATTCATTTACCAAAATTCTGTAATATTAGCAAGAAAATTGTTGTAGACAGGTTTCCTCATGGTGCATGCCATTTATTTTTGAATGCCAACATTATTGTCAGAGAAAAACTTACGTAGCTTGTGAATAAATGGTGCACCCCACAGAGGCTGAGCAGCCACGAAACGTGCATACTTTCTTTTTTACAGGATGCTTGCAGGCAGCACATGTAGCGTTAATGGAAAACTTTATTAAACTTGCCATTGATACTGTTATCCAAGTACATCCCAAATTTCCTGCACTTTGAGCTGAGTGAAGCAAACCTCTCAAGCCCCACAAATCCTTCATTCCTTCCTCCCTGAAAAACATTTTGTTTGGATTAAATATAAAAAGGAAAGGGGGGATCACAATGTTGCTGAGGATTTGAAAAATATGAAGTTAGACTAACTCATTATTTCTTTCACTCTTCACCACATCAATAATTTCCACAGATGTTAGCAACGAAGATCGAAAGTATACACCTGATGCCTTGGAACTAGGTTTGACTTTAACAACACGCCTACATATAACTTTAGCACCAGGTACAAGTCCAAATGGATATTGAAGGACTGACATTGGTGATGAGGCATTACTCATATACAATGTCACTGGTGTTCCAGTTTGACTCTCTGGTGGGGTGTCTCTCACAACAACAGCAATTACCTTGCTCCCTATAACAGAAACAAGAGACACTAGAAGAAAAATTGTCGGCAATTAGCATGACAGAAAATGTTTACAAGATTGTTACCTGGTACCCCAAAACCATTAACCTTGAGATTTGTCTTCTCCCTCTCATACCGGGGATCCTGATGATATCGACCAACAACATATCCCATTACATCAATTAGCTCTTTGTAATTGGCTTCATCTAAAGACTGCTGAATCCTGTTAGAAATATGATAGTTTTTAATACACAAGTCCAAGAACAGAAAGAATTACTAATATATAAATACAAATAAGTAATACCCGAAGCAATCCCGAAATTTTAAGTTGTCAGTAGGCTTGATGATCAAATGTACTTCTGCACTAGGAGGGAGTGTAACACTACATATAGTAGGGAGCATAGTTATAAGTCCCTCAACAAATCTTAATGGCAACCTGAATTTTGAAAAAACAATATAAAAAGTTAACAATAGGAAAGAATTTTAAATACTGCATCACTGAAACATCAGATTAAGACATTAACAGATGCATTTTGTTTGGAACTAAGACCTTCCCTTACACATTTAATGCATTTGTATTCAATTGGGATGCAAACTTTATGCGATTGCATAATTTCAGAGGTTTTTAATTCGCTACAAAAATGACAAAGTATCGATGGTTGGGGTATGTACACGGCCGTCTAAGCTCAGACGATTATGTCCTCACCCAAACCATCCGCCAGACAAGAGCAACGAGACTGGTATGTTTTCTCAAAAATAATGCATTCTTGCTATGTGTACATTGTGTTCATACTACCGAATATTGTGTTAAATACATCTGTTAATCTCTTAAAGTGACACAGCATACATTTAAAAACATATGTCGTATCATCAACAAACCCCTTTTTGAAAAAGTTGTCATCAAAGTCCACAGGAAAGCGAATTTCTAGAACTGAGTTGACAGTTACAAAAGGGATAATTTTTAGCAATGGATTCTCTAAATTGATGAAGATAAATTTGTTAGAATGGTTTCTGTGACTGGAACGAGGCACAGTTGCAGATTTGACCATCTCGCCAAGTAAAGATACAAGAAGGTAACACCTATAAATAAAAACATTAGATTAGGGACATGTAACAATTAATTTAAATAAAAAAAGCATTCATAAATTGTGTTATTAGAACATTTTGCACAGATATTTCTCACCTTGGTAAAACTTTATCTTTTCGTAGAACTATACTTGACTTGGTTTGAACTAATACAAACTGTGAAAAATAGTTTCTAAGGGCTTTTTCTTTTCCAGCAGGGCTATAGCTTGGCATAAATATGGTTTCTATGCTTCTTTTACCACCTGATGTATTGGGTTCAGTGATATTTAATGCTAAGCCTGCACTTTGGGAGTCACTGCCACCTAGTAGAGTAAGATTAATGGAAAGTGGGAAATCTAAACCTCACATGATTTTAACATGTACCTACCAGGTTGCCTGGTAATATGCATATCATCCAAATTTGAGTTTTTCCAGTTTGTGTCAACAGCAGAGATGATGTGCACTTTATCCAGTGACAGTAAAAGATACCTCAGATTCTGATAAGGGGGATTTTCTCCAGGAATGGAAAATCTTTCTCGAATTAAATTGTGTTCCATTACCACAACTATTTTCTTCTGCAGCTTAGCAAGTTTCTCTATATTATCATTACAAAATACCTTAAAGAAAATATACATAATAAATTGTAGGAACAAAAAATATACTAAATATTGATAAACTTGCGTAGGCAAACGTAAACCCACCAGACAAGGAGTGGAACAAGAAGCATCATTGAGTGTTAGTCTAAAGTTTGAGCTTTTCAATGAAATAACACCGATAAGAATATTCACTGTGTCCTTCTTAACATCATATTGCCAAAAGACATTGTCACCTTCCTCATTTACCTCATCTTCCAAATCAGGGTATTTTTCATTTATTTGTTGTAACCCACGTAATTGAAATGGAAGCATTACCTGCCAAATCAAGAAATATCTATAAGAATCTTTAGAAACAAGTAATATAACAACAGGTGCTGCAAATCAAAATTGGACTTTCACACAATCTACCTCTTTGAGTACACCACATCTGAATTTGTGGTCAGTGGCCATGAACTCTTCTAGAGTTGATGTTCTTTCAACTTTAATCTGTTTAAGGATAAATTTTGCAACATTTTGTAGCAGACACGATCGAAATTCTTTGCACTGATTCCTAACAAAAATTTAAAACATGTCATTTTATGTCTGATAAATATGAAACTAAGACCACAAAAAGTACACTTACTTAGCAATACCATACAATAAGAGAAAATCATCACTGAAGATATTTTGAAGAAATATGGAACACTTTTGAAGCCACAATATTAATCTATAATCCCTGACAGCATCTCCTAAAGACAACAGTAATGGACTCAACTGGGGCTGTGGGATTTTGCGCTCATCCTCGCCTTCTATCCTGTTTGGTAACAAAAAACATGGAAGTTTATGACACTATCAAACAGTGCAATTTTCACAGAAAATGTCAAACAAAACGAAACAGTACCTCATGAAGCTTTTTACACACATGGCATAAATAGTTTGATTGTCTTCCTTCTTTAAGCGGTGCACATTGAAAATTGTAACAGTTTGTTCCTTGGTTGGGATAGGAAGACAAGCAACCCTTGAACATGTACTAAATATAACCATATTTGATCTATTGAGATAGCATATTCCAAGCTCACAGTTTACATCAGTAACTTCACCCTAAAGTTAGTCAATTTGTTGCAAGTCAATAAATATGCATTACTAATAAAAAGGGAAATGGTTCAAACAAACGGGAGCAATAGAATTTTTACCTTGATAACTGTAAAATTCTCCAGGTGAGGTGGGTCGTAAATTCTGACGCCACAGTTTACTTCCTCAACCACTGTATCACATGTCAGTTTGAAGCATTCAACAGTGCTCCCCTGTCAAATAACAGAATTCACATCAAAATTCACATAACTTACTTTGAAACCATTGACTAGAAATATTCATTTCAGAGAAGTGTTTGATTGTACCTTTAAAACTACAGAGCCCCGCAGAAGATTCATAAATTTATAACACTGTCCGATATTCAGATAGTTCATCGACAACTGATTGGGTGTACATAGTATGTAATGGGCAGAATGTGCAGAGCATATCTCAATAATAGTGCACTCTGGCTCAGAGCTGAAAAATACAACAAACAGGTGGTTAACAACTCAAACAAAATAAATGAAACCTAGACATTATTTGAAATTAGGTCTTACTGTAGCAAGTGGGAACGTGCAGTTAGGCATCCTACAAGCTCACTGATCCTTTTTGTTTTTCTTTTAACATTTATTTTCCCACTCGTTTTATCCCTTTCCTTCCTCTGCAGAAAATACATGAAATAAGTATGTGTGTTCTGGTACGTAAGTAAGTACAAGAGAGAACTCGAATATCATTCAAGGTCGTTTAAATCAGTAGCTGATGGGAGACCTACTTTAAGAGTTGTCATCATAGTTTAGGTGGAATAGTCAATCAACAGTCCAAATTCAATGAAGTGCCGAGCAAACTTTAAATTCTTGAGATCGAGCAGCTGCTGGCCTCTCTCAAATCTAAACAAAAACAATGGACCGGCGGCGCCCGACCGACGACGACAAAGCCGAACCAGGCCGAACAACCGCCGAACAAACAGAGCACCGGGCAGGGCTGGGTTTAGTCCGCGACGTTGCCAAATGCTACAACTCAACTACCCCCCCCCCCCTCCTCTCTGAGAAAGGGCGGCCCTTTTAGTTTCAGTCAAGCCTAGGTCAAGTGGTGAAGCCCCATCCATGAAGTCTACAGAGACTAATGGAGTCTCTCCCGTTCACCGTTCACGTTCAACGGTTAAACGGCGGACGGGATGAACGTGGAGTTTTGCTCACATTTCTTTAGCTTCTCCACAATTATTGCTCAGCCAATATGGCACTTTGCTCATGTTATCCACCTTGATGTTATCACACTCAATTTGAATATAAATAGGCAACAAGTTACCACAGAAAACAAATGTACACCTTTGCAAAATTTCTACAAAAATAAATAAAATATATGTAATATGTGCTCAGAAAATGTGAATCCTGTGGATTTGAAAAAAAATGTCCATAAACTATTTCTTAAAAAAAGAAAAAACAACAGCCTAGAAAAATCTAAATTCAACAAGTATGTTGAAAACTTTTGTCATAAGATTCAAAACAACATTCCCAGATGGACATAGTGTCTGCCCACAAAGAGCTCGTTCGTTGTATGGAGAGCCTAGCAAAGGAAAACGCACTGTTTGTTGTTGTGGCAAATGGCAAGTGGGCCAGGGTCCAAGGCCCTCATAGTATGATGAAAATGTTTCAAGAGGATTGGTTGAATACACAAAAGTAGAGGTTCATTTTATTAATAATTATTAATGTACAAATAGATTAATATACGCAGCATTTTAGTGATAATCAATGCTTTGCTAAGATCACAGCCAAGCTAAGAAGTAGTAATTTTTAAAAGAAATTATAAAAGTATCAACAGAAATATTACGGAACTCGCCTGGTTGGATTAGTACTCCTTTGAAAATTTTGTCAACGAGTGAAGGCATTTCAGAACAGCAATGGAGTTTCCCAGTTTGTGCTTCATTTCTTGCAAATTCACAGGAAGTTTTGGTCTATGGTATACATTTGTCAGCACACATAGTAGTCTGTTGGTAAAATGGTACATTGTGTACATTTTCAAAATGGTCAAGTTAGCTTACAGAAATGATACAGCTCAAAATAGATTAGACCTTTCTCAGTTCAATGAAAAGACAAATTTAATAGGACACCAAGTTCAGTGCTAATTCATGAAAAGGTTGGGTAGTGTAAACTTTCTGGAAGAAAACTGATTGAATTCATTAATAATTCTTTGCAAATTCAAATATTATTTCCAGTTCTATTTTTTCATTACTATTAGAATTTATTATTATTCATAAAACAATGGCAACAGTGAGAGTGAGCACAAACTTTTAACTTAAAGATCTAGGTCATAATTTATTTAAATTAAGCTCTTCTTCAGGTATAAAATTGTTATTTATTACAGATGTAGAGTCAGAACAAGAAAAGTAAAAATGATTTACTCATCAGAGTTACATCCATTCAAATTGAGCCCAGATATACTATCACACTATCACTAATAAATGGTCTGTGACACATGCAGTTTGTGTGATTAAGTGTCAATAACTGTGGAATTCCAGAGAATATGGCAGACCAATTACAGTTTCACAATTCATCGGAACAATAAAAATAGACTGAACTGTACCCAAAATCATTTCTAATTATTTGAGAGTTCAAATTGAAAAACAAAATTTGATTAGTACGCATGTTATAAATGGTGGTTGATTCTCTACAGCTTTAAATTCATAAGTAACCACTTTGATTAACCAAGACTCATTTTTACTCCAAAGAATTATGTGAAAATGAATAACCATAAATGTCTTGCGTAATATCTTTTGTTATGGAAGTCTAGTAATGCTTACGCAATGCAAATTAGATATAAAATGCAAGTTCCACCTAGGTTTTTAGTAAAGGAGCTCCATGAGAATGAGCACAACATAGAAATAGTAAAAGCATTTGAAACATTAACTTTCTTAACCTTCTTAGAGGATTGATTGAAGTTAGGATACTTATACAATGCTAAGGCAGAGGAGACAACAAACATAATTTCATGGTCATGATTCTCCCAGGAACCATAGTATGATACCTCAACATTTCATTAGATTGTATTTCTCAATGAGCAAATCAATGTAAGTAGAGAGTAGAGACCACAGCTCTTAATTACTCACTATGCGTATACTTTGATCTGTAGGATACAGACAACACTTACGCAAATTTAGTGCACAGGTCATAATACCTGAAAATCTCATAAATATATCAGAAATGCATTTAACATAAAGCAACAAGCACAGACCATGCTCAAAAATTGAAGGCAATTTACATGTTTGCCCATATACAAAATAGGACTCAGATCCAAAATCAATTGTGAAAACACTGTAAGGTTTCAGTACAAAACTGCATTAAGTTCCAAGCTTACAAAAGAATGCATTTTTTTTAAAAATCAGGCAAAATTGTTCTATGCACAACAATAAGTCAAGTTCATTTGGAAAAATATAAAAATATACACCGAACATATCTTATTTCAATAGTTACTATGCCAACTTGTTTCAAAACAGCTCTAGAGGTAATTCATGAAATTCAGACAGACCAAACACACACACACACACACACACACACACTCACACACTCATGAAACACAAACGCATCCATACTAATTGAGACATACCTTACATACTAAAAATACAAGATCCACAACTAACTCTTTCACATGTACACACACACATAATTACAATCACATAGTTTCAAAAACACAATAAATTATTTAAAATCATTCAAGACTCCTAGTAAACCATTCATTCATAAATGCTTCCACTCAAGTGAAACATGAAATTTGTTTCTATAAATGTACTGGATGGGTGAATATGAGAAATAACACTAAATAATTGAAATCACAGAGGAAATCTGTCTTCAACATCAGGTAAAAGTCTGAACATTTTAAAGAAGTTCAAGATGTCAGATTTTACATAAGCAAGATGATGAAACTTAAGCGAATGTCATCAGGTATTCAGTAGAAACCACAATGAATTTAGATGGTCAGCTAATTCATGGTCTAAACAGCTTAAAGGTTCGTACTTGACTTCAGGCACTTGGTTGCTGCAAATTCTACAGCTACGGAAATAGAATCGAACACAGGCACTCCCTCTCGCACTGCTAAATCTTTTAGGTACATGCGCCCTCGATTATAGTCCTTAACAGCTGATTTTGATATCTATAAACAGAACAAAGCATATAAGCAAAAACTCATTTATCAGTTTAAGTCAGAGTAGAAACCGAGCTTCATACCTCTTTGCCATTAATAATAGATTGTTCTGTCAGTAGTTCAATGTATAGTACAACATCAAACCCAAGACCAATGCAATAAGCTACCTGCAATAACAGATGGATACCAGTAGATTAGATACACAATGTACATAAACAAGTGGCTAGTTTTAGTTTTGATACGGATGGGAACATACCATACAGAGCTCTGCCAAAGACCTTGATGTATTAGTGATGACAAAAAGAAGAACACGGCTTCTATCTGCAAGGTTTACTGAAGAATGTAGCATTTGTTTTGTCCACTGACTTGATGGAGGCATGACATACTTCAAACCATGATTTCTGTAATGAAATATTGACAAAAACATTTTAAAAGTTGTTAACTTTAACTTTAGATGGGTCAGAAATTTCAAAACTTACTTCAATAAGGGAATAGCCACATCATCTCTCCATGTCGTGTTCTCAGTTGATCCACCCAGGAATACATCATAACTTAACTGCTGATTAGTGATAAAACTTGGTGAAACAGATTTCATTGATCGAACTGGTGAGGGGTTCCACCCTAGAAAATAAAAAGTAAGTATTACTTTTAAGGATGAGTTTTAGAAAAATATGAGTTTATTACTGCTCAGACAAATTTGATTTCCAAAGAACAACTACAAAAGTTTATATGTTGAAGCAAAAGGTAATAAGTATATTTATGAAGGCAATGAGCAATCCACATGGAAGGTAGAGCAGAAGAAAATAAGCTAAGAAAAGAAAAAAGAAAAAAACAGATACAAAAAGCAAATCTGTCAGCCCATGTTTGTAGTTATATATTTCATGGATGAAAAGATTTTGGAAAGCATGCATGGTATTAAGGATCAAATAAAGTACAGAATACAGAAAACTGAAAGCCACACAGCACGCAAAAAAAAAAAAGAGGCAAAATTTTGCAGCAGTGTCAATATTTGTTCCTCCTTATAAAATGCTATTTGATTGATTGATTGGACCGAAGGAGGACTGCGGTCAATAATGTCGATGCCAAGTGGTGTGGTAACCCTGCTGGCTCAGGCCTCCCATCGTCAACCAAGAAGAGAAATGATACAAAGCCAGCCCCTGTGCTAGTAAAATGCACTAGTAAAACAAATAAGCAGGACAGAGTATTTTCTTTTCGATGGTGCTTACTTTATCTAACTATGCCTCTGTTTCTAGCAGAGAAAAAAATTTAAAGCAATAAAGTGCTATTTAAAAATGTGACTAAGTATCAAACAACCACACTACGTTAGTCCATGCAATTATGGTCTCTTGAATGTACCTAAAACCGCGCAGATAGAAGTTAGATAAGACAGAATGGAGTTGCACCAATTAGTGCCAGCTCCTGATAAAGATGCAGATCCAGAAGCTAAACCCCCACAAGTGGAATCGCTTGCAGTACCAGCTGCCTCACAATTGGCTGATTCTGAAGAGGAGTTAGTGACTAAACCCTCAACAGAGATTGATGCTGGTCTAGAGCTAGTGACAACACTCTTGGAGGGTTCATATGAAGGTTGAGAGGCAAGACCATGATCACCACCACCAATCAAAACACATGTATCTTTGAACAAGAAATGCTCACTTTCTTGGTTAGTCTTGAACTCCGCAACAATTGCACAAAATTGGTCAAAGTTAACTCGCAAATTTTCGAATGGTACATTTTCTTTTGCTTCTTTCTCCAAAACACCTAGAACACAGGGAAAGGTGGAATTTCATCAAGATAAAGTTATTGTTTTAAAGAATTTAAGTTTGGAAGTAAAAGTTATCACAACTAAAAGAACCATTAGGCAAAACTGTGTGTTTTAATTCAGTGTTTAATGTATCACCTGCTAAAAAAAAATTACCTGCAGATCGCAAATCAGACAGAGGTAGGTTTCTGTTGTTAAGTATCCAAAATGCAAGACGGACCTAGAAGAATTTGTTGATTAGATACTAGATAGAACTTAAATTATTACCAATACTCAAAAGTAATCAGAAAAAAAAAGTGAGGATTAGTGCTTTACATACATTTTTAAGACTGATTTCTCCAGTTCTATCCAAATCAACAGCATCAAAGGCTTCTCTAAGTTTCCTGAAAAAGTTAAGATGGGGATTGAATTTCTTTGCATAAATGGCAAATAATATGACATTTTCCTTTAAAGCTGACATAACTTACATTAGTCTGTCACTTATCTGGGGAGAGCTCTTCACAGACTGAAGTTCATGGACTGAAACATTTTTCCATAATACCTAATAGAAAAAAAAGAAAACAGCGTATGTAAAAAAAAGTACAAAACAACTTTTTATGAAGACCATCGGTTAGTTGTAAATTTTACACCTACCTTTGCTATGCCATTCACTGCAAGAGATACACTACGGAAGACAGGTATTTCTTGTCTTTCTGCTAATACTTGCATTGCTTGCTGTCCTGCTGCAAGATCCTCCAGCTCACTTTGATAGAAAATAAATTTAAAAACACACCAATTATTGTAAAAAATTCAGGTCTAATTGACATATTAGATTTTTAAAAGGAATCAAAATAGTATTAACTTACTCATCTGATAATGTCTCGCCGCCAATCTCACATCCTGAGGGTGGGTAAGGCTCCACGACAAGCATGAGGCTCCTCCTCAGGCCTGAAAAGAACGCAACCTCCACCGTCGATGCAGTGTTCCTCGTCTGATTGTCAATGACAAATAACAAAATTGCTGCATTTTGTTTAGCAATATGTTCCTTCTCAATCAGCTCTGGGGCCCAGTCAGAAACTTGCTGTGGATTAAAAATTCCTATTTTAATTTAATGAATTACTTTTCACAGCACTGTGGAACAACTCAGAGCTCAAATCTTACGGGGTTGTAGTAAGTGATGCCAAGGTCTTTCAAAAGAGGTATTGCGACATCCTGTCGCCAAGTTGTTGGATTACACGAACCTCCCAAAAACACTTCAGGTTTTGGAAGTCCCTCTGTAAAGGACAAATGCACTTTTTAACAAGTTTACAGGCAGTATAAGAATCACACTCAAAAAGGCCGGGGTTCCCACAGGAGTTTCTCAAGGGGCGCTGCATATGCTGACACATCTCCATCTTACTTTGCTGATGGCAGCAAAGTCAAGTCAGCAAAAATGTTCTGCGACGACTTTAAGACCACACATTGAGATGGGGTACCCACGGCGAACAAACGGCCAACTTCCAAAGAGAGGGCAAGGTCGACATTAGTATAAACAACTTAACAGAACTATTACGAAAACTCGTGAAATATTGAGACCAAAAGAAATTAAAATGGAATGGGAACGTCAATGTAAACAAGGCACAAGCCAGGGCAACCTAACCTACACACAGCACCCTCGAGGGATATCAGTGACAGCCCTACCGCAGGATCGCGCTCACCTCTGCGCAGCCGGGAGTGCACTAACCCCAGGGCACTACCCTTCCTACATCGGACCATGACAAAACAGGAGTGCAAAAACTTCAGAGTCAGGGAGGGCGCCCATGGCTCGCCATTGTGGCCGAAGCTGATGGCTGCTGATGGCGTTGTTGAGAGGGTGGCGGGGGAGGAG